GTCACCAGATTGGTACAGATAGATCCTGAGCAAGCAAACAGTGTCCTCCAGCAGAATGGCAAAGGGTAAGTTTTCTATTTCTTTCAAATCTTTAATATCAGAGGCTTCAATTTTATTTACTTTGAATTAATTTCTGTTTAACTTTAATTGTAGTCCTGCTGATGGAGAAGCTAACCCGCATGTCCTTAGCAATAATGTTCAGCACACAGAAGATGGCAGCAAAGAGAAAATGAGTATGTTACTAATGCCCTTTCTCACAATTTCATGCTTTTGTGTCCTAATTGCTTTTGTTTGTGCTCAATAAACAACCCATCCTGAGACATCTTTTGTGCACACTGTTTCCTTTTAGATGGCGGACAGACTGTCTCTGTGACAATAGAGAAGGAGCAATAGACAACATATCTCAACTACGGTGCCTTAAACCAGGAGTATCATCACCTCAACGGGAGTCATCCTAGACCTTCATTTTAAGCTTTGATGCAGCCTCAAACCACATGTTTTGTATTTGTTTTTATTACATGGACCATTCCTCATCCAGCGTGCTTTGAAAGAGCACAGCAACAATATTGCTATCATGTAGAAAGAGCCTCTACAGCGACCTCATAGACTGCACCAGTCTGAAGCAGAAGAGATTCAGGGAAGGAGATGTCTTTAAGATAAACCAAAGACATTCAAATAATCCCCAAAATGCGGGAGCCAATGTTTGTCTTTGTCTGTTTTATGTTTAAGATTTCATCTAGAGAGTCATCCTTTATCAGTATTAATCAACCTCTTAATCACTAATTGCAGAGCAAAAGGTTTGTACGTTGATTTTCATCCGAAATAATGTGTGTGTGTGTGTGTCTTATAAGGTGAACTTCAAGCACAGTGCAATTAGCAGCAGTCTGTTATCAGATGGTCTCAAATTTAGTTTACATATTTGTAAATATTTGAAGGTCTTTCTGTTTACACTTTAAAATATTTATTTTTCATTTCATAATATATTTGATAGGAAAAACATAAAGATGATAAATGCTAAAACTTAGATGACCAAATCCAGTTTAATGCTTGTTGAAATGGTTTAATCTCAATCCAGATACTTGAAAGCCAACAGGTCTCCCATAATTCCAAGATGATCAGGTAGATTTTTCATTGCACTATAATTATCTGTAATTTGTCCTGTTTTATAAATTAATTGCTTTGTCTTTCTATGTATTTATTTGTAAATCACATTTTATTTATTTTCAAAAAGACATTAATACAAGTGATTTCCTTCTTCATCTACAGAACTAACATCCTTTGTATTTCTATATTAACACGAATCTATTTGAAGTGTCTTCTGTTTGTGTCCACCACTTTCAAAGAAATTTAAGTTTCAAAAGCACAGAACATAAAAAAACACCACAATAAAAAAAAAAAAGTCATAAAGAACAGGCAATTATGTCCTTGAGCCTAAAGCTCGATAGAAGAAGTGGAGTTTATACCAGTGATCCAAAGGTGTCACAACCTTTCTTCACTCTTTACTGCCCGCCATTGTTTCCTTATATTACCTTCCTTTTGGAGTATGTGATGTGTAGCACAATAAAACATGATTGACTGATTTTACTTTTTGCCTACATGATTAGTGACTCAGAAGTTCAATGACCGATGTCAGTGAACTTAACAACAGGCACCTGGAGCTGCTGCCTGTTTGAAAAAAAGATGCTTTTTTTTTTTTTTTTATTACGAAATTGTTCGTGCTGCTTAATGATTGCTATGTAACAATAAATGTAATACAACTATACATTCCTATTCTTTAACAAATGTGTGATTTGTTTTTGTCAAAAATGTGATTTTAAAATGTTCCCTTGACTGAGGAACAACTCTGCAGATGACTGAACTTGTGGACCTTAAGTGCTTACAAGATGTTAGTCATGACCAATTAAGCTTTAACTGGATTCCAGTGAAGTCTATGTGATGAAACTTAGATTTTAATGGCTTTGTATTGAAATCTATACCAGAGCAGTGCCTTTATATGGGGGGTCTGTCATATTTGTACCAGAAATATGAACAAAAAAAAAAAAAGACTTAGTGATCATTTTGCTGTTAGCTTATCTGTCAATAAATATATGCATCTTGACAAAATCCTCCAAGTACTCACATGTGGCACCGTTTTTATCTCAGTTACACTGGCTTCCTGTTTAATTTAGAGTCAATTTTAAGATCCTGGCCTTGACTTACAGAGCTGTGCATGGACTGGCACCAGCCTACATCTCTGATCTGCTACAGCCCTATGTCCCCAGCAGGTCCCTGAGGTCATCTGATCAGGGCTTACTTGCTATAAAACAGACTAAGATGAGAACTAAGGGTGACAGAGCTTTTGCCACTGTGGCCCCGAGACTGTGGAACTCTCTCCCCCAAACATTAAGAACTGTGGACTCAGTAGCTGTTTTTAAAAAAACAACTCAAAACTCACCTTTTTAAAACTGCTTTTGGTTAATTTTTTGCCTGTTTTATTTGGTCTTTTTTAAAATCTTCTTATGACTTGTAATCTTATGTGCAGCACTTTCTGATTCTGTCTTGAAAGGTGCTATATAAATAACAATTTTATTTTTTATTTATTTTACTAAAATTCTCGGATGAATTCTAATCTCAGTGACCTTGACTATTAAGGTCAGAGGTCAAGTTTTCTAAAAATCTTGTGAATGCGATAACTTGTGAACAAGGTAACGTAAGATTTCGAAACTCAAGCCATAGGTCAGGGGCGTCCAACTCCAGGCCTCAAGGGCCGGTGTCCAGCAGATTTTAGATGTGTTATTGATCCAACACAGCTGACTTAAATGGCTAAATGACCTCCTCAACATGTCCTGAATTTCTCCAGAGGCCTGGTAATTAACTAATCATTTGATTCAGGTGTGTTGACCCAGGGTGATATTTGCAGGGCACCGGCCCTTGAGGCCTGGAGTTGGACACCCCTGCCATAGGTACATCTACTAGGAGGCTGAGTGGTACTGCCCACTGCCACCAGTTTTTTAAGACTCTGCATTAGCATGTTGGCCAAGGCCGTGTTTTTTAAAGCCAGAAGTGAGCATACTTGGATGAAAGTTATCAATTAATGCTAGCAATCTACAAGCACAGAAACCAGCAATTCAATGCTTGATAGTACCCCTTACTACGAGTATAATGTAAAAAATACCTTTCTACCTGTTTTTTTTTCTTTGCTGGAAAACAGCTCAGACCACGAAGAGTTGAGAAACCAAATTTGGCAAACAAGCACATCTTAGGCCTCTGAAGGTTTCATCAAAATCAGACATCATGACATTCACGATGACCTGAGGTTAACCTTTGTGCATTTACAGGACCATATAAGAAAAGACTAAATGAAAAGTGTGACACATAATACGTATCTAAATCTCTACAAAGTCCTATAAATAATTTAATAACAAATGCGCTTTAAATAGTTACACATATTGGGACATAAACCACAGCCTTGGGAGAAAGTGATGTGGTCAGATTAAATAAAAAACTAGCTCTGACATCAACTTGCCTCTGTGCTTGCCAAAAAGGGTTTCTCCACCATGTACTAAGACAAGTTATGCTTGCACAGCTCAGTGGCAAGCAAACCAATTTAAAACTTTCATGTAATGTGTTTTTTCTGAACATTTTATATTTGATATTCTGTTTCTCACCATAAAAATTACAGACTGTTCGGGTTTGTTTGTTTTTTTTTTATAACTGAACAAACTTACAACTTCAGCAGGGAATGAAGTAATCATTTACCCCACTGTAAGCTGTGAACAGTTCTAAGGTTTTCTACACAGGTAGTGTGGCCAGTTCCCTTCTGCTTTCTCACCTTCCACAAACTATCACTTAATGCCCCTCCGGTGGTCCTCCTTGGGCTCTCGGACTCTGGGGCCTCTGGATGTCTGGAGCCTGGATCTCCTCCATGCCTGCTTCATGCCCTGGGGGACAGGGCTATGGCTCTCTACATCCTCTAGCAGACCATTACATGGGGAAACCTTTTGAATACAAGCGCGCTGATCCACACAGGTGTGCACACGGGTGTTCACTGTTCATAGACATAAACTACACCTCTTTATTGGCTGCTATTTCCAAGCACATTGTGCGCTGTCGGTCCTGCTTGCTACACAACAACATTCAATATTTAGTATTTACTGCTGTTTACACTTAGCTAGATTAACGTGATGCGTGTTGTGTTTAGTATGTTGCTCTGTTTTTTTTTGCTTGTTTTCTCTTCTTTTTCTCTCAACAGGTGATCCAGGAGATTTTCTTTCTTCTTTCTCTTTTTAAGTGCCCTTTCTCACTGTCCCTCTTCCCTTCTGTTTTTCTTTTCCTTCATCTTTCTTTCTCCCTTTCCTATCCCTCAGTCATGTCTGTCCCGTCTGTAACAACTGAAAAAATAAAATAAATAATAACAACAAAGGTCGATCAAATGGACCAATACGGCAAGGCCGTGATGATCCATTTGGCAAAGTAAATCCATTGGGTATCCTTGTTGGTCTTCAGACAACAATTCTGACGGCTAAAGAACCAAATGGGACAGGCAAAAAAAAAACAAACAAAAAAAAACTAAATCAATAAAGAGTTCCAAAAACATGTATTAGATTCAGCAATCAATACCAACACAGACCAACAAACACAGCATAACTCTATTGTCAAAAATCCACCAGTCTCAATCAGTATGGCACTTTTAAATGTCCGCTCTCTGTTGAACAAGTCTTTTATTATTAATGATTTAATTTTAGATAATAAACTTGACTGTTTATTTTTAACTGAAACATGGCTGGGTTCGGATGCACCAGTTGTTCTCACTGAGGCCTCCCCACCAAATTTTAATTTCTCTTTTTCTATTAGAAGTGGTAAGAGAGGTGGTGGGACTGCATCTTTAGCCAACAACACACTCACCACCAAACAAATTTTATTTGATCATTTTACCACTTTTGAATTCCACGCTATTGTTTTCAGCAGCCCTCCAGTTTTATCTGTCACAATTTATAGACCACCTAAAGACAGCGCTGCTTTTATCAAGGAATTCTCAGAATTTTTAACAAACATACATTCAAAATATAATATGATAATTTTAACCGGTGATTTTAACCTGCACATAGATAATCCTTCTGACCCTGCAGCAAAAGAATTCTTAAACATTCTTCACTGTTTGGATTTTACCCAGCACGTCACGCAGCCGACTCACAACAGAGGACACACTCTGGACCTGGTCATCACCCATGGGCTGTCCACCAGCGTGTCCTCTGTTGTTGACTTGGCTGTCTCTGACCACTACTGTGTGTTTTTTACCACAGCACAGAGACTGCTCTCCTAAAGGTTTTAAATGATCTTAGATGTAACTGGGACTCCCAAAAGCTCTCAGTCCTGGTGCTACTGGATCTAAGCGCAGCCTTTGATACAGTAGACCACGCTATTCTTTTAAACAGACTGAAACACATGGTGGGCCTCTCTGGTGCTGTACACAACTGGTTCACTTCCTATCTCTCTGACAGAACTTTTATGGTGAGTATGGATACATGCTCCTCTAAGATCCATAAAATGACATGTGGTGTGCCTCAAGGGTCGGTTCTAGGCCCTGTACTTTTTAATTTGTATATGCTCCCTCTCGGCAGTGTCATCAGGAGGCATGGAGTGAACTTCCACAGTTACGCTGATGACACGCAGCTGTACATCTCCGTGTCTCCTGATGACACCAGACCAATGGATGCCCTTTTTAACTGTATTTTAGATATAAGATCTTGGATGGCAGAAAACTTTTTACAGCTTAACCAGGACAAAACTGAAGTTTTAATCGTCGGTCCTGAGGCTCAGAGAGAGAAACTCTTGTCTAAATTAGAGGCATTTTCACTATGTCCTTCGCTACAAGTGAAAAACCTGGGTGTTATTTTTGACTCTGAGCTTGGTTTTATCCCACATGTTAAACATGTAACCAAAATTGGATTTTATCATCTAAAAAATATAGCCAGAGTCCGCCCTATTCTCTCTCGGGCCAACACGGAGATGCTGATGCATGCTTTTATTACCAGTCGCATTGATTACTGTAAGACCCACCTTTTTAATTTAGCTTTTACTTAACGTTTATTTATTTTATGCTTATTTATTCTATCCTGTTATTCTATTATTAATTTAGGCTTTACCTAATATTTATTGATTTTATTCTTATTCATTTTTTAATCTTCTTACTCTATTTATATTTATATTGTATCCCGTTCTTATTTATTTTACCCTGTATATATCCTATTGTGTCATATCTTCAGTGTTTCCTCAGAGGGCGCTCTCTGCACCGGGGCTGTGATCGACCATGGCTGCTGGGGCTCTGGGGGTCCTCTCAGCCTGGCTGGGGGGCTTCTTTGCCTCCCTCCTGCTGTGTGCCCAGCCTGGAGGTCTGTGACCGGCTCCCGGTGCAGACGGCTCCCTGTTATAGTGTTTCCTCACTTGGCTCATGCGTACCCAGCCCAATTTTACTCTTTAAGTGTGCGTGTGTGTATTCGAGATGAATCAAGATTGTGAGCATCATTTTTTTCCTTCTTGCAAAAGAAATATGATGACATGGTGAAAAAAAACTAGACAATTATTAGCCAGAGACAGTTGAGCGACCACAGTGCCATTCACCTCTCTGTAACAGAATAACAGATAAAGTTTAATAGTCTCACCACTCAACATTTGAACCCTCTGGAATTTTTCTAGGTAATAGATTTGAAAAGCCCATGTAGGATTTTCAACTTTAAATGTTTCTCATTAGTTTTTCTCTGCTCCCATTCATGCCGTACTGGCTTTCTTTAGTAGTATT